AACAACATACACTGGATAAATACACAGAAGGAAATGTACCGTTTCAGAATATCAATCAAGTAAGAAAGAGAATTAGAGAATTAGGACCCTTGTCCATTCCTTATATTACTATATGTTAATTTGGTTTATGCATGGATGTCAGGGCCAAGTGTAGACACTGTTTGATACGTGTCATGATGTATCGTAACCTTTTTGCCATTGCCGGCAATGGGGTGGGCGCAGTTTCGCTATGATGTATCCGGCCCACAGGCCAGCAGTTTGACACCCCTGCCCTATACCATTCTGGACAAATAGGTATCCAGTCTCTTCCTAAAAACCTTCAGTGATGGAGCACTCAGAGGGACCTAAGTACTGTCCTTTGAAAAACAGGAACCAACACCATATTTAAGCATGAAATAAAATGCCAAATCGGGATACAGGATCTGTTTTACATTAAGGTTGAAAAAAAAAATTGGCCTCAAGGCTTCTTACATCAGGAATTTTACGAATTTAAATTGCTGTGGATGAACTAGGGTCAATTTTTTTTAAAAAAGGAACCACTGAATTTTTCATCATGAAATAAAATCCCGAATCTAGACACAGAATACTTTTTGGCAGTTTGGCTCAAAAACTCTTTGACTTCCTGACCTCATAAATCCCTGAATCAGGCATCATGAATTTTACGAATTTTCATCGCTGTGGACAAAATAGGATCAATTATTGAAAGAAGCATCCAAGAGCATTTTAAAGCATGAAATAAAACCCATAATCTTGTCCCAGCATACGTTTTAGTATTAAAGCTGAAAAAAAATTGGCCTCTCAGCCTCCTATATCACTGAAGTAGACATCCCGAATTTTCCAAATTTTTGCCATTATGGACAAAATAGGGCCAATTTTGTTTTTAAAAAAGCAACCAATGCCATTTTAAAGCATGAAATAAAACACTTGACACAGGATCTGTTTTAGCATTAAAGATGAAAATTTTGTTTGACCTTCCAGCCTCCTACATCCCTGAACAAGGCACCATGAATTTTACAAATTTTCATTGCTGTGGACAAAATATGGCCTATTGTTGAAAAAAGTAACCAACACAGGACGTGTTTTAGCTTTAAGGGGGAAATTTTTTTGGAGCTCTTGGCTTCCTACATCCCTGATCCAGGCATCACAAATATTACAATTTTTTCTCGCTGTGAACAAAATAGGGCCTATTTTTGACAAAAGCAACCAACACCATTTTTAACCATGAAATAAAATCCTGAATCTTGACACAATATCTCTTTTAGCAGTTCAGTTGAAAAATATTTTGGCTTCCCAGTCTCCTAAATTGCTAAACCAGGCATTACAAATTTTACAAATTTTCATCGCTGTGGATAAAATATGGTCGATTTAAAAAAAACCCAGCAACCTACTGCATTTATAATCATGAAATAAAACCGCAAATCATAGTACAGTATCTGTTTCAGCAGTTCAGGTCAAAAAAATATTGGCTTTCTGGCGACCTAAATCCTTGAACCAGGCTTCTTTAATTTGACAAATTTTTGTCACTGTGGACAAAATAGGGTCAATATTTGAAAAAAGCAACCAACGCCATTTGTAACGATGACATTAAACGTTTAATCTTGACACAGGACATGTTTTAGCTTTAAGGTGGAAAAGTTTTTAGAGCTCTTGGCTTCCTACATCCCTGAACCAGGCTGCATCATAAATTTTCTGAATTTTCATCACTGGGGAAGTGATGAATGCCATTTTTCAGCATGAAATTGAACCATGAATCTTGACACAGTATCCATTTTAGTATGTCAATTGAACTAAAAATTATTCTAAAGCAATTTTGCTTGTTTCAAGAATTTTTTGATTCCTGTTTTATTTCATTATTTTATGTCATGTTACCTGTCACGTTACCTCTTTGAATCCTAAACTAATCCTAGAGTTGCACATGCAAGCTGAAAAGTAAATAAATAAAAAAGAGGATCTCTTACCTCAAACAGGAGTTTCCCTGCATAATATATGAACGTCTCCATCCTTTATTCAATGTACTAAACCAGTGGTGGCGAACCTATGGCACACATGCCAGAGGCGGCACTCGGAGCCCTCTCTGTGGACACATGTGCCGTTGCTCCAGCCTCACCTCTCCCCACGACCCCCTCCTCACCAGTAGCCCCCCTGGAGGAGAGTCGCCCCTGAGCGTGGCCTACACAGAGACGTGCAGCCAAGGACATGGCAGCCAGGCAGCGTAGACAAGACTCTTCCCTCACGCCCCATCCCACACAGTTGATGCTGTGGGGCCCGGGCAGAGGGCGTGGCCGCATGGCGCTGCTGGGCTGCCTGGGCAATCTGCAGCAGACCGTGGAGGCGGTGAGTGGCCCTGCGGGCAGATGGGATGGGGGATGAGGTGGCAGGGGCATAGCAGGGGGTGGGGCGGGGGTTGGGCCAGGTTTTGGGCACTTGGTCTCTAAAAGGTTCGCCATCACTGTACTAAACTAATCCTAAACTAAACAAATATATTAAATATGATAACTAAATATTGTGTGTAAGCTAAGTAAACAAGTGTGATATTAAATAAGATAAACAGATAAGCAAGCAAATAAAAACTGTAAACTAAACCTAAGCTATGTAAATGCAGTTAAATAAAAACAAAACCAGATCTAAGCTACTAGTACTCAGTAAGGAGCGGTTCACACAGCATACCCAGAGAAAATACTCTGAGTGAAGAGCTTTCATTCAGCCCACCAAAAGGTTTTATATATTTCTCCTTTGTGAGCTCATCTACCTGTCAGCACTATTATGAAGCATGACCTCACAAAGGAAAAGCAAAGCAAACTGATTGGCTGAATAAATGCTACTCTGAGTTTTATTTATTTTTCAATATTTCAATATTTTTCAATATTGGGAAAAATGTAAGCACAAAATCCTGTTGTTGCATTTGGTGGAATCAGAGGATAAGCTAACAAGAAAAATGCCATAGAAAAATTAGTGCCGCTGAGGAAAGCAGGGAGATGTCTGGAGAAATATGCACAATTTTAGACTGAAAAAATGGTGCCAAGGTGAGTGAGCAGAATTGGAGAGATTTCTGTGCTTGGTTCCCTAGTATCAATTTGGATGAGATAAGTAGCTATATAAATTTGATAAGTAAGTAGGTAAATAAAATAATTTATGGCACTCAAGGTCCAAAATAAGTTAGGAATGTTTGCTTTCCTTTTCGCTTTCTACTCCATTCTTTTCTGATCTCAGAACAGTACTGTATATTGTAAGCTGAGCCCTGCTTTTTTTTTTTTTTTTTTTTGCTTATTTTTGCTCTCTCTCTCTCTCTCTCTCTCTCTGTCAAAACTGAACTCTGGAGTCCTCGGTGCTCTTTGAATTTGGTTATTTGCTTACAGATGGTTCCTTACCCGACTAGTAAAATCTTCGTTGCTAGAAGGGAATGGGGGTTTCTCCCTGTTTATATACAGCAGCTTACCCTGCCAGTGTTGGTGAGGCTGTGGTTTTGTCTTTGGTAGTTCCTTGATTGTTTTCTAGTTGGATGTTTGTCAACCAAGGAATACGGCTAATAAATGCTACTAATCAGAAGTTCTATTCTCCTATAAAAAGGGTTTTCTTTCAGAAAAAAAACCCTACAAAATAATTCCTCTCAATTATAAATCCTGCCAGGGAATAAAGGATATAGTCTCAAAAAGGGAGGACATAAGTCCTCTTTTGATGCCATGAATCAGCACAGAATTGTGGCCTGCGTCATGATGCGTAACCACATGATGTCCATTAGGTCAAGCAACCCCCATGGCCACTGGCCCAATGGAGATCAGTCTGAATGCTCTCCGCTGAAAGACGTCAAAGAAGTCTGTCACGCCCATTTGCAAGTGTGCATGCATAAAATTTCCCAGATCTAACAAATATAGTGTAATCCTCAGGGACCTGCTAGCCGTTGTTACCACAGGCAAGAAATGAAGGAGACACTGCTGGCATTCCTGGGCTCTCAACTTCACCCCACATTTCTGCCATGTTTTACCAGGAGCCTCCATGATTTACCTATCCTTCACATACCCTCACATGTTGTCCTCCGGTCATGGCTGGTGCTGCCTCATCATCGGGGTACAGCTGCAACATGTGTGGAACAGTGGGACTGTGGGGAATATAGAGTCCAGCACTTCAAAATATGATGCCATTGTCATCAGTGGGGGCTCAAGTTGACTGAACAGACTATTCTCCCTTGCTTAAAATGGACACTTATAAATCTGTAGCATACATTTTATATCAAATATGTATTTCAAGAAAACACTTTGGTGTTCATATTACCGGCTATTACTAACTGTATTCATATAAGCTGAGCCACAATGATGGCTTTATTTAATTTATACAACACACTGAATCTTAATTACAGAGGGTAGATTTATGCAATAATCTAGACTTGTGTTTATTAGCTAGTTTGTGGGACAGCATATATGTAATATGCTGTCCTAATACATATTCATTGTGACGAGACCTCATAAAATCCTGCCCAACCAATACCAAATTAGGAAAGTCTGGATGACCAATGATAGTCTGAACAGCTTTTTAAAAACTAACTGAATGCAAAAAAAACAAAACCAAAAAAAAAATCATAAAAGGGAAAAAAAGAAAGAGAGGAAACAAAAACATACAAGATGCACAATTAGACACATATTTCAATAAACTGATGCCAGAATTCATAGCAGTCTTCCATAGCTGTTCTATAATAATCAATTTTATGAATGGTTTGGAGCCATATGTTTGTTTTTCTGGTAAGACTCTAAGTCCATTTCCTTTGTCCAAAAGTCAAAGAAAAGGCTGTAATCCAACGTCGTGTTATTTATTTTTTAAAGAAATCCACAGTATTATTTTTGCAAGCAAAAAAAGAATTGTATGTACATAGTTAAAGTTCTTTTAAAAAGTATTAAAAAGCAAAACAAACGAAAGGGATTTTTTAAAAATAATAGTTTTATAGAAGCAACTCTCTCTCCATCCTCATCCCCCCCCCCCCGTTACTAATTCTTATTGACGTATTTTAATTCTACTTTGATCATTATTAACTCATACCTGTTTGGATCATTTGAACTGTTGTTATTATTATGAAACAGGTTCCCCCTGTGTTCAGAGTTTCTCTTTTTTCTAAACAATCCCCATATTCGGTGCTTGCCTTGCTGTGCGATACGCTGTATATAAGGCAACCCTTCCCTCCCAACTTTGGCTCAACCTCTGCTGGGAATAGATATTGTCAATTTTTTCCATTCCTGCACATCCTTCCATTCTTGTCTTCCCCATCTTGGATTGAGGATAAAATTCCTTTTCGCCAAGGCTGTGCCTGAGAGATGCTGCCGTCGAGTCTGAACGGCGGAGAAGCAGCCGCTCTTCACGCCGAAACCTTAAAAAAACCTTAGAGGGAGGCGGGGAAAGCCAGGCTCAGAGATGGTAAGCAGACCCACTTCCCGATCGCAGAGCACACAGAGCGGCTGGCTCCTTCCGTCCTCTCCGGTTCCTTTCTTTAGCCTGAGCGAAAGGTCGACGCTGAAAGGCCCGGAGCTCTTTTTCTCAGCGGCCGCTGCTGGGGGGAGAGGCTGGCCAAGCGTGGAGCCCAGAGCTAGAGGAGCTGCAGCAACAAAAGCGGATTCCGTTTCTGCCCGGGCATTGGCTTTCGGTGAGGGAGGCAAATGGGTAGGCGAAGGTGCTCAGGGACTGCCGAGCTGGCGCGGCCTGGCTCGGTTGGATGGCTTCGCATGCTAGTTGGGAGCGCAGGGCAGGCGGTGACAGGGCGGAAAAAGGTATACGGTAGTGGTCCCCAGGATGAGTTGCTTAGCGTGGTTCAGATGAAAGAGAGCTGTAGATACAAATCATCATCATCACCATCACAGGAGCAGAAAATTTCCATGTATTCATTTATTTTTAATCCCCTGCCTTTTCCTTACTCTTACCCTGTTGTGTGCTTTTAGAACATTGCTCACCTGAATGGAACTAGCATGTATCTATGTATCTATTTCAGAGTATTGCATGAGTATGGCTAAATGCTTCTTCAGTATATGTCCAGTGGTGGGATTCAGCCAGTTTGCACCACTTCGGCAGAACCGGTAGCTAATTTTTTGTTGCCCAGGCCCAGAATGGACTTCCCGAAGCTGCATCCACACACACAACCGGTGGTTCACATATTTGAATCCCACTACTGTATATGTCCCTACTCTAAAATTGTATGCATCTTAATTTTTAATTTTTACAATGAATCACATGAAGAGGGCTCATAAATGTGAAGAATTTGATCTTTGAGCTTCAGCTTCATGGATTTTCCAAGATGTAAATCGCTACGTCAGCAGGTGTTCCTCCTACATTTAAGAGAAAGGAATTGTGGACTCTTGGCCTGAGAACTTACTTCCTCTCTCAGGCATTTCCAATGCATAAAAGTGAAGAATAAATAAACATATTAGCCTTATCCCTCTTAAATTAGATCCTGGTTTATTCACCCCGCAAGTGTCAGTTACACAGTTACATACCCAGAGAGAGCGCTATTTAAGTCAGGCTTAAATTAAATTTTATAAAAGTGGCATAGGTTTGTGTTATGTAGGGTTCATGAGTCTGTGTAGTTCATGCCTGTAATTGTTAAGGATTACCTGTAACTCTGTTTTCATCATCTTCCTCACCATATTCAAGGAGGAGTCCGAGCTGATTTCAACAAGAAGACTATTCCAGAGGCCCAGTACTGTTAATGAAAAGTAACACCTTCTATCCTTGGCTCTCTTTGCTTTCAAGAAATGGAGGCGCCATGAGCAATTTAATCTTATAATTTGGTCTGATTCTAATTGGAGTAAATGGGTGTGCAGATGCCCAGGTGCCAAGCCATTAAGGGTTTTATAAGGGAAATGGCATCATAAAATTACATCTGGAAACAATATTCATTAGTTCAGAATACACAGACAATTGATTTGGAAATCCCACATCTTCTAACCATAAGAAGCAGCAAAGCAGCTTTTATTGGCATGCACACATAACAGTTATCATGAGCTCCTTGCTAAAGAAATGCAAGCTTACCGTTTATATAAATTTGGGCTTTATATTACATAGGAATTATAATGAAACTATTGTAATTCATAACATGACCCTGTATTGGAATGCCTTTGATAAAAGATTGATCCTTATTACAGTGCCCTGCATTCCTCTCTATTACCTATTAAAATTCTAATCTTCTAGTACCGTCACTTAGGTTTATAAACTTTAGAATTTATTGGCTGGCTCAGGAATTCTGGGAGTTGAAATCCACGAGTCATAAAAGAGCCAAGGTTGCCTACTCCTGGTGTAGGCTATCATGGCAGGTATTTGTTGGGCAGTATTGGGCTTCAGGGTTTAGTGCATAGCATAGAAGACCACTCTGGCTCTGAAAATGCCAGCCACATTGGCCAGGAAATATCAGGGAATGTATTCTTTTTACACCATGGTCATTAATTTATTTACTGTTTATTGTCTCCCTATATTTGCTCCATTCCATTCACATTTCAAGGAAGGACAATAGCCTGTTTTCCATTATATGTCTCCATTCCAGGGTTATAACTCTAGCCATTTGCTTCTCTGTATGATTTTATTAGGCTAAAGAAATAGGGCAAATGTGCTTCCAAATAAAATATGTTTGTCCATCCTGTCTATCCATTTTATATCTCGAGACACCAGGTCTCCTTTTTTCCATTGCAGATGTAATAAATTTCCACACATTTTAAACACATTTCAACATACTTTGTTTATGGTTTGCCAGTAGACTTTTTTTTTAATTATTAGAGCAGTTTTATTGTTATTGTCACACATTTTCTTTGTTAAAGCCTAGTTTAAAAGCTAGTTTCAGAAGCTTGTAAATACCAAATGTAGCAATTTGTTTGGCAAATATATCCTATGGACTCCTGCTAAAAATGTCATGGGTTAATTGGGTGACTTCTCTGTTAGAAAAAGATTACCTCCTCCATTTTCTTAAGATGCTGAATTGGAAGATCAACTGCTCTGCTCTTAAATTTTGCTTCTGCTGGAGGTGACTATAACAAGTTCAATATGTGCAGAAATGCAGTTCCAAAAGATCATTTATACTGTTCAAAAATTCAAATCATTTTGTTAAATGAATGAAACATTAGGGTTAAGAATGTAGGAAACTGACTTCTTTTAATTCTTCCAGAATACCAAGGGATAATGCTTTAATCCCTCATTTCCATGCTAGATAACTTCTTGAACCTAATACCCATAGGGATATCTGGCAGCTGTTTGAAATTCTGGGAACAACCTTTCCAGTACCTCTGGAGGTTGAGTCAGGGTATTCTACTATACAGAGATCCCATATACGATATTTGAAGCAAAGCAGCTAAGATCTCTGTTGATTTGAGCAGTTACATGAACAACTTATGAATGGAAGGTTGATCAAAAAGCTCCCCATATGGTTTCATATACCTATGAGGGTGGCTATATTTTTACGCAGCTGTTGAATCTTATGAATACACCAAAATGTGATAAATAAATACATAAAATTATTGCTAACCAACAGAACTTCTGACCCCTGAGAAGAGAAAAAATTAGTAAGATTGAAGATGGTCTAAATATTCTTTTGTACTTTGTATGCTATATTCATTTTTATATTAGTAATTTTGATACTTGGCCCAACTAATAGAAGTGAAATTCAGTAGCAATGATTGGGCAAACATAGTCTGTCATATGTACTAACAAGGGAGAACAATCATGGTGATCAGAACATTGTGTACTATGAGGATATCACAACAAATGATTAACAAGTATGTTCACATATCCCAAACTGTCCAAGTAGAAAAATGTTCATGTAGCTTGATTTTCCAGCACGACATAATAATAATAATAGTAGTAAAGTTGGAAGGGACCTTGGAGGTCATCTAGTCCAACCCCCTGCTCGGGCAGGAAACCCTACACCATTTTGGACAAATGGCTGTCCAGTCTCTTCTTAAAAACTTCCAGTGTTGGATCATTTACTGCTTCTGGAGGCAAGCTGTTCCACTGATTAATTGTTCTCACTGTCAGGAAGTTTCTCCTTAGTTCTAGGTTGCTTCTCTCCTTGATGAGTTTCCACCCGTTGCTTCTTGTCCTGCCTTCAGGTGCGTTGGAAAATAGCTTAATTCCCTCTTCTTTATGGCAGCCCCTGAGATATTGGAATACTGCTATCATGTCCCCCCTTGTCCTTCTCTTCGTTAAACTAGACATACCCAATTCTAGCAACCGTTCCTTATATGTTTTAGCCTCCAGTCCTCTAATCATCTTTGTTGCTCTTCTCTGTACTCTGTCTAGAGTCTCAACATCTTTTTTACATCGTGGTGACCAAAACTGGATGCAGTATTCCAAGTGTGGCCTTACCAAGGCATTGAAGAGTGGTATTAATACTTCACGTGATCTTGATTCTATCCCTCTGTTAATGCAGCCTAGCACTGTGTTGGCCTTTGTGGCAGCTGCAGCACACTGCTGGCTCATATTTAAGTGATTGTCTACTAGGACTCCGAGGTCCCTCTCACAGTTACTACTATTGAGCATGGTGCCACCTATGCTGTACTTGTGCATTTGGTTTTTCTTGCCTAAATGTAGAACCTTGCTTTTTTCACCATTGAATTTCTAGATTTTTTTATTCTGGATAATTGGAATGTAAATTAAATCTGTGGTCTCAATTATGGCCTTTATTTCTTAGGCCCATCCTACCATTAAGTACAGTGAAGCAGTCAGCTGAGGCAATGAATAGTGTTGGGGGAGAATAGAGAGAGAGGAAGAAATGACTGGATAACAGTATTTGTGTCATGCATCCCCCCCACACACACTAGAATTCCATTTTTATATAGTGGAGGGCAGTATGTACAGGGTTAGTGATTTGAGGAGGGAGGTTGAGGGGAGCTTGATTTTTTGCCTTATTCATATTCCCTCATGCCTTTTTTGTCAGCAACAAAAATATTTAGCCCAGTTTATAATAACACTACTCCTTATGAATATTTGAAATAATGAGGTAATGCAGGTAGTCTTTAACTTACAAGCATTCATTTAACAAACATTTAAAGTTACAACGGTACTGAAAAAAGTAATTTAAAACCAGTCCTTGTATTTACAACTGTCACAGCATCCCTACGGTCACATGATCAAATTCAGGCACATGTCAACTGGCATGTATTCATGACAGTTACAGCACCCCAGACTCATGTGATCATCAGTGCTAGTTTATTTATTTGCTGGTTGGTTTATTAATTTTACAAATAACTCAAGGCAGCGAACATATTCAACATACCTTCCTCCTCCTATTTTCCTTACAACAACAACCTTGTGAACTGGGCTGAGCTGAGAGAGTGTGACTGGTCCTAAGTCATCCAACTGGCTTTCATGGCTAGTGTGGGACTAGAATTCACAGTCTCCCAGTTTCTAATCTGGTGCCTTAACCATTACACCAGTCTGAC